CCCTGACAGATGGGACTTCCATCTCAAGTATCCAGGCTTCTTTTGCTCCATTTTCTCCTCCTTTTCATGAAATGGATCAGTTAAACCTCAGAGAATACGCGAGTTGACAGCAAGTTTGTCTCTTAGGCTTCATCTATTGTTATAATTATATCTGGGCAAACTTAGGCAACTTTTGTTTCCTGTTCCTAGGTTTGTTATTACAGGGTAATGATCTTCCTTCTATTTGTAGATTGACTGCTAGAAGGGAATTTTTACCTGATGATCGTAATCCTGGGTCCGGGGTGATAAATCTTCAAATTATAGCAACTGCTTTATTTTTCTGTGCCTTTCAATGACTATTTTTCTCTTTTATGTCTTTGAAATGCTCCCAGTTGCCATTTATCTTAGCCAACAGTTATGTCAAACTGATTTTTGCCAGAGTAGAAACAAGCAGACATCGTGAAAGGATCTCAAATATTTTGGAAATTACCGTGACATTCACAGTCTGCCTCCCACCCTTGAACAGTTCTCACTAGCCAGAAGCATCTAGGTTTCCTTAACAAAAGCCTCTCATGTTTTTGTTTGCTTTTCAGACTCAAATCAATAGTTTAGAAGTAAATGGATGCCAATTTCTCCCCTTTCTTCTTTTGAGTGATACTTTAAAATATAGATTTTGAGTCATGGCCCGTTTTCTTGCTTCCATGTGCATGTGGTGTGTGTATCAAGGCCGGGGTCTGCTTTGTATTATATTATATTACACAAATAAACGCTACATTGGAGCTTGCAAATACACTTATCTTAATCTGGCATCCTGATGAGACAATTGAAGAACATTTCTTTCCCTCTCTGTGGGTAGTTATATTTTGTTTCATTGTTATGTCGTTTGCAGGAATCTGCAGTTCCTTCCTGCAGTCTGTACTTATCAGAATGCCGCGTCCCGGTAGCAGGATTGTTTATCCCCCAAAGAAAGGCGTGTGTTCTTTCTCCGCACCTATCGACTTGTGTGGATTTCTGTTTGCTTACGTCCCCCTCCAGGTCTCGAAAGGAGAAAATCTGCCAGCTTCCTCAGCAGGCTTCGCTTCCTCCCTGCAAGAGCCCGGCGTCTGCTGATGGGCCTGCCGAGAGAACGGCAAACTAGGCCAGGCGGAGCACGCCCCCTCCCTTCCGCATCCCGCCCCGCCCCCCTTATACTCATCCCGGGGCTGGGGAGTTGCCTTCTCACACTCACATTTAGCTCTATTTTTCTTCTCCTTTCTTGATCCCTAGAGGAAAGTGGGAGCCAGCACACAGTGTTAGCTCTCAAACAGCTCAGCAGATGACCCTGGAAGGATGACTCATGTGCCCGCTTCCCTCACAGAAGCCGGAGAAGCTTGCATCCCGACTAGCTTGCAGCCAAAGGTTTTCTTTATAAGGGTGGTGAGCTGCTTTGTCGCCTTTGTAGCAAGTTTGTGTGTTCATTTCATCAGCTGGACTGCTTTGGAACTAAAACGGATATCTATAATTTCCCTGGCCTGATATACTTCTCGTTCAGGAATTTTAATCCAAATGTAAAAGATTTAACTTAACTTGAATCGTAACTTACAAGTCTTCTTTAAGCAAAATATTGAATACGGCTTACATTAATTACTGTAAAATGAATTTGCCTGTACCAAGTCAGTATACGATGACACGTTTCAAGCAGGTTTCAAGTCTTTCTTCCCGCAACTTTTAATGTTCTCGAAGCTCCATCTTTAGGCTCTCCAGAGACTGAAAAAAATCATTGTAAAGAGCTGTAGTAACTGCAGGAAGTTTTTTTTTTTTTTTCTCCTTGCCTGTGTAGAAGCTTGTCTAGTGCTGCCCTCTGGTGGCCATTTGGTACATTACATGTAAGACTTTTCGCAGTTTAGCCTGAGGTAAATGAACAATCAATACAAGTATGCAATATCCTTCAGTTTGTGTTCATTTTTGGCTGCCAAACAAAAATTTCAGGTCAGAGCATACTCCGTTATAGAATTTTCATGTTTAGGAATATTAAACATAGTTTAGATATTCAGACTTGTATCCCGATAAGCTATCTAAATTTGTTTTCTGTTTGGGCTGAAAAGAAGAGATGAATTTAGCCCAAAAGACAAAGTTTTGTTGTTGTTGTTGTTATAGGATCTCTCTTTAATTTTAGAGACTATTCTTCCTAAGCGCTCCAAATGCTAGTCCTACAGATAGCCTTCTTGAGCTTATTTAATGATGAGGAACCTCTGGCCTAGAAGAGTTGAGCAGTTTCACAACGTTGCTTGGTTTAAAGTGAAGTCTGACCCTGTGGCCCTCGGTGTTTCTACAACACACCGGCCAGATGACTAGTTAGAGAATGTTAGAGGGTGTTGGTGATCTGATGGATTAGGCCCTGACTGGTTTTTGAACTTGCTGCTTTGCTTGTAACCCAGGATGGGAAGGGCAGGAAGAGAGACTTCGGAGAGGAGAGTATACTTCAGCAGCTCTTTAAGGGCCTCGGGATGGGTAGGGTCATTGTTCAGTTGTTCATTTTGGTCAGGACTGTTTTGTCAGGAATGTGCACATGAGATAAAAAATCTCTCCAAAGCTCAAGAATGCTCTACCTGAGCCAACTTCTGTCCAGAGTGCAAGAAAGACACTTGAAGAACATAGTTAGCGTAGCGCAGTTATGCCAACAGGGAAAGGGCTTGCTCACTTTTTGCTATCATGGCCCATTCTGAGAAACTGAAAACGCTGTCAGGGCATGGTACCTGACGGAGGGATTTCCCCTTCTGCGGAGGGAGGTGTGATGGAGAAAGGCGTTAGCTGTACTTATCAGTTGTTTTTCCTTGTAGCTCTGACACTAGCTATTGATTCTCATTAAACCTTCATGACATACCTCCTATAACTTTCTAATTGAAATATTTCATTCTTCAAAATGGAAACAACAAAGGGGCCTGCAGTCCTGAATACTATTGTTTCTCTTTCACAGGTAATATAGTTGAAGGAGAGACCCTTTTTACAAAGGCTTTCAAGTCTTGAGTTGGATGAGAAACCGCACTTTCCTTGAATGAAGCTGCACTGCAAAGCCTTTCAATCAAAGCAATGCACCCTCTGAAAACAGCCTGTGATGTGTATGTTGGGGTGCTGCTGCCTCAGCTGTCCTTCATGTGCATGATTAAAATCACTACTGTAACAAGAGGCCCATGCGCTACTTTTAAAACTCAGCCAGCAGGAAAGGTTAAGGTTTCATGAAGTCTCAAGCACAAAACAGAGTCTTTTGTTAAAACTGTGTGATTAAAGAGCTAGCCACTGACTTCATGTCAGAGACAATCCCTGTTTCACTTACTAGGGAACCCACTTGGATACTGAGCTGCCATGGGCTACATCTGAGCAGGGGTTCTAGGTTGTATCCATGAATGGTTCTTGGTTGGAGTATCAGTCCCAGAAAAGAGCCCTGTGCCCAGATATTTTGGTACTATTGCTCTCCAAGTGGAGCTCCTGTCCTCTCCAGGTCTTACTGTCTCCCCTTCTTTCCTAAGATTCTTTGCACCCTGCCCAAAACTCGGTTATGAGTCTCAGCATTTGCTTTCGTACACTACTCAGTGGCTAGCCCTTTGACCACCTTCCCCTGATGGGGGGGCAGCCTTGCCAGGCCACAGAGGAGGACATTGCAGCCAGTTCTGGTAAGACCTGACAAGTTAGGGTCAGATGGAAGGGGAGGAAGACCTCCTCTATCCATGGACTTGGTGAGGGGCATGGGAGGAGATGAGAGAGGCAGAGAATGAGGGAGGGGGACTATAGTTGGGATACAAAGTGAATAAACTGTAAATAATATAAAAAATAAAAATTTAATTAAAAAGAAGTTATGCAACTTTGTTGGACAAGTTCCCTCACATTCTTAAGGTTCATTGTTTTGAAAACTGCTGTTGTGGGTAAGACAGTAAGATTACTTCATACCTTCAATTCTTCTACCTCCTTTCTGGAAAAATTAGTTTTTTGGGTTAGTACTCAAGGGTCTGGAGAGAAGTCTCAGTGGTTAGGAGCTGGATTGCTCAAACATCATGAGGACCAGAGTTTGGATCCCAGAATCCTGCACAGGCCTGAGCCTGTGACCACAGCTCTGAGGAAGTGGGATAGAGACAGGAGAATTCTAGAGCTTGCTGGCTTCCAGCCCGGGAAGAAAATGCAAACCCCAGAACCAGGGAGAGAGCCTCAGAGGAACAGGTGCAGAGTGCTGGAGGAGGAAACGCAACATCTTTTTCTGGCCTCTGAGCGTGTGCACAGATGTGCATCCCGCACACCGGCACGTACAAATGAATAAAGGTTAGCACCCAAAACAATGGGCTTCGTTGTGCTATTTCTGAACATGCTTAGTTCTTACTTATCCGCTCTCTCGTGGCTTTAGCTCCTTATTAATGGTCAGCCCTGTCCTTGCAATAGCTCCCGTTTTGCTATCATGTCATATTCATTTCTCATCCTAAAGGTATAATTTTTTCTTTGTAGGGGTGAATGTGAGTGTGCGCGCACACTGACAAGCACACACATCAGTGTTGAGGTCAGAAGACAACCTTGGTATCATTCCTCAGCTGCTGTCTGCCTCTCCTTTGGAGGGCTCTTACTGGCCTGGAACTCACTGTGTAGGCTAGGCTGGTTGGCTAGTGATCCTCATTGCTCTGTCTGTCTCTGCCTCACGAGGCCTAGGATTGCAAGCACATACCAACATACTCAGCCTTGAAAATATGGGTTTTAGATCAAACTCAAGTTCGGATATGTGCAAGGCAAGCACTTCAGTGGCTGAGCTCTCACACCAATCCTGTTCTATATGTTGAAATTTTTTTTTTTAACCCATTATCTTGATTGACAATCACAATTCCTCTGACAAGAAACAGAATCAGAGGCAGAGGCAGACAATGACTCAGTCCTGGTTGTTGACAGAACATGACTTCATCCAAGTCCCAAATGCAATGGGAAACTTCTTTCATTCTTTGCCTCCATACTAACCCCCTCAGACCCCCCCCTCCAAACAGCCTCCATGGCCATGATTTCTGACCCACCTGTTCATGAGACCATGTCCTCTCGGAACCATCCTTGACACAGACGTCCAGCCTCAGCTCGGTCCCTGTGGCTCCGTGCTTGCTATCCACACATAGGTTTGCCGCCACGTTTCGAATCTGTACCAAGAAGAACACATCAAGCACGTCACTATACCTGACCACCTGAGGCTGATAAGGGGCTTCCTTGGTCTGTCTTTTTGATGACATGACTAGAAAGGCACCTATTGTATTAAAACTGTTCAGAGCTTTGACATTAATCACATTTTAAATTGTCTCCCAAGCCAATTTGTCTCCTTTTGTCAACTTAAAAAGATTCATGTAAGGTTCAGGAGATCCGTTAGAATCCACAGGTCACACTCCAGATAAGCCCTGGAGCCTCTTTCCTAGCTTCTTTGTTCCTGATGGTGGAATTTCTCCCCTGGTTTTGGGACTCCCCTCCTCCCAGCTACCAAGACCGTGGGCCTAAAAGTCCATGGACCTAAAAGTTAAACACCTTGACTTTATCTTCTGCATCCAACATATCTATGTTCCAGCATCCTGTTTTCTCAAGAGCTGCATCCAGAACTCAGATGCTCAGGCCCTAAACCTCACAGACTGCATCAGCTGGACCTGCAGTTTCCTAGCTGCAGATGGTCCCACGGATCCTGGACAGCAAATAGAACAGCCTGCTCTTGGGACTTGGCAACATTCCACCTTTTTGTTCCACTCTCCAGAATCAATGCCCCCAAAGTTAACCAGAAGTAGCCAGAAAAGATTCTTTGCCCATTATCCATTTGTTATCAACAAAAGGCTGGGATGTTAAAATCCCTACCTGCTGCAGGGTGTGGCTGCCATACCTGCCCTCCACCTAGGGATGGGGCTTCTCTCCCAGAAGCCCTTCACTATAAAACCAGACTTCCTGGTTCCATCCCCCTTTTCCACCCTTTCTCCCCTTTCCACCTTTCCACGGGTCTTTCCCTTACTCCCCTTCAGCTTGTGCTCCCCATCCCCTTCCCCCTCCCTTGCTGCTCCCAATAAACCTGCATTTATCTAATGCAGCTTTGTCTCGCCATTAGCTCATCCTCTTTGATTTACTCAATCAACACCTTGATTTTATATGCAGCTGTCAACCAAAAAAAAAAAAAAAAAGAGGACATGAAAATATAACATATTTGTGAAAGAACACGACATAGTCGAAGGACAAAATTACAGCTAGCTCCTTGCAGCCAAATTAGTCATTGGCGGAGGGAGTGGTACAGAGCCTTGACCTCTGTAATGAGAGTGTTCTCTTGTTCAGGAAGTGCTTACCACGGAATTTGTTATTCCACTTCAAGCACCTCTGTCATTGCCATCCCAGTGGGGACAGACTCTCCGGTGGGTGAAACACTCGGTTAAGGAAAAGGCTCCTTCAGTATTGTACAATTCTGGGCAGGTTACAGTGACCTCAGGCTATAGTTTGGCTACAATTGGCTGTTGTCACAGGATAGCATTTCTCCTGGGTGGTGAGTTAAAGGTGGTCTTAGAGGATTAGCTATAAAGGCTGAGGATTAAGTTAGTACTAAATAGTTTAGCGGTAAGTAAAAGGTTAATAATGAAAAAAAAATCAAGAACTGAAAGAGCAGAAGTGGCTTCTGGTCAGGGACGGGTCCTTTGCAGTGTTCTCCTGCCTGGATGGCCCACCAATCCTCTGCTGGCATCAGCAGCACAGCCCTCGGGCTGGGTATTAGATGCAGTTTGTGTTGTAGGTGCCTGTGTTCCACAAACCCTGCTATCTCAGCCCTTCATCTTCCTGTAATAGTCTTGAGTTATTATCCCTTGGTATGCTTAAAGATGGGAAAAGACTAGAATGCACCCAGCTGATAGCTTTTGAGCTGATTCTTTTGCCTGGAAGGAGTAGGTAAGTAAGAAGAATGTCCAGCCAGGCCCATTCGTATTGGCAGCAATATAGAGCGAAGGTTGTGAAAACTCGGGGAATTGTGAAAGGTGCCATCAGTGCTGGGATGGAGATAACGCAGATGGAGCTAGCTCAGGTTTCGTGGATTCTGGGAGTAGTGGTGAATGTCCTGCAGGAGATGACAGAACTGGAACTCGGTTCTCATTCAGAGAAGGTGCCGAGAGGTCTGCCAACGGCTTCGGGACCTCTGGGAAGTTCTCTGTCTCCCATGTTACGGGTATGCGAAATAAGCAAAATTTGATTTGTCCAGCATAGCATCCAGGGACAACTATGGATCTCTCACCTCCGAAGCAAACACCGGCCAAACACTTGCAAGGGGTTATGTTCAAGCACACTTGCTTTCCCTCTCCTGAAACCCCTCAGCTCCTCACTTAGACCTCGAATCAGGGACATGGCATGTTACCATCCCTAGCAAGCCAATTGCAGCCTCTTCCTGGCAGCAGGGGAGATCCAGCAGTTCACAAGCGTGAATCTGACTGCTCATCTGAGTGTGACGGATCATCACTTAAAAAAAAAAAAAAAAAGAAAAAAACTTAGCTTCATCTTTCCTAAACAAGAACTAAGGAGAAACATTCTTTTGGGATATTGGAGGAGGGAGGGAGAGTCAGACACGGGGAGGGGCAAGAAAGAAGAAAAGGCTTTTGTAAAAGTGCTTTACACTGTGTGCATGGAAAAGCACAATGCGCTTTTTTATTAAAATAGAAACGCAGAGTTAGTTTCAATACCACTGTCGAGCTTGCGTGTGCGTGCATGCGTGCGTGTCTGTGTGTGTGTGTGGAGGGGGAGGCATTTGCTTTATATACCAGACCACCCTGGTACTTCTGATCCTCTTGCTTCAGCCATCTCTACTATGTCAGTTGAGCTATTACTGCCCTGAGCCCTAGCTCACTCTGTAAAGCTTGGGCTTTATCTCCTCCTCTGGGTCCAGTGTGTTGCTTTTCTGAGGCTGTCTGTCACCTGAATAACCGCCTAATAGCACTCTGGGAAGGGCTGTCTTTACACCTCTGGACCCTATAATCCCCTAGCCCAGCCTTGTTAGAGTGTTCGATGCCTATGCTGACATCATCTTTATGCCTCCGCTTTTCTCTCTGAGGTAATCTAGGAGCTTCAATCCACACTTATGATGGAGAAGCAGCTTTTTTATATTTGTTGCCACTTGGCACAGAAGGAGAGGCTGTTCCACAAGGTTGGCATTCAAACTTGCCCGTGTGTAGGTCTCCGCTCTTTGAAAAGGACAAAGGAGAGAGCATCCTAGTCTAGGGATGTGAGTGGTGGCTCTGCCTCCTCAGCCTGTGGCTAGGACCAACCCTCCCGGAGAGCCTCACTTTGTTTCCCAATGTTAGGAGGCCAAAGGGTCTCTGGTAGTGATAGAGGACAACATTTTCTAAACTCTTGAATTTTCTAAGTTCTTACTCAGATGGCAGCTGTGTAGACAACGGAATAAGCCACTTTGCAAGCCAAATTTCAAGTTTCAAAGGCATAATTGTCTACATCTGTGTAAATTTCAGCACAAAGTTGTGCCAGAGAGGAAATGCTGAGAGTTCAGTACAGGACAAGGTAGACAGCTGGGACAACACTAACACCCAGCCATTTTCACTTCCTTCTTTCCCTTTTGTGTTCATATCTGCATCTCTAGGAGCATGAATTCTGAATCTCTCCTTTTCTTCACAAACACAGCTTCATTAAAATAAAAAGATGAACTGAAACAGAACCAAGGTTTAAAGACTATAGGTAATAGTATGTACAAATGATTTTATTTGGTCTGGGCTCTGCGCTGTGTCTGAAAGTAAGGCATTTTACACACACATGCACACACACACACACACACACACACACACAACCCTCAAATCTAGGACACAGATTATTACATAAATCTGTGATAGAGGACATCATTTTTAAGCTTCAATCCTTTGATGTTCAGCTTCAGGGCATTATTAAATTGCATCAAGGGATCTGGAGGAAGGCTAAGGAGGATTAGAAAGAGAAGTAGTGCTTGACTAGGGTGAGCAGGAAGAAGGTAAAAATCAGGAAGAAGGAAATCCTGATGGATCACAGGATTGCAAAAATAGAATCATTTTGGGCAAGGGTTAGCAAAAGACAGAGAGTAAAGGCTTTTGGTAGGTTTACAAGAAGAATCAGGCTCAAGTTCAACAAACATTTATTTTTCTGCTCAGGAAGCTTTTAGGGATCTCAGTTGGTACAATGATTTCCTCTCATGCACAATGCCCAGGTTCCATCATGGGACCAGGTATGGTAGCAAAGCCTGTAATCCAGAACTCCAGAGGCATCCCTGCATTCCAGCATTTAGGGATAGAGGTAGGAGGATCATAAGGATGAGGTTGTCCTCAGCTGCTTTGTTATTGGGTTGTAGCAACATTGTTGAATACCTGAAATCTTGTCTCAAAACCAACACAAACTAAAGAGAAAAAGAGATATAAGAGGGAGCTGTGCACCGTGGTATGTGTCTTTAATTCCAGGGTCAGAAGCAAACAGATTTCTGTGAATTTGAGGCCAGCCAGGGCTACATAGTGAGGACATGGTGAGTCCTTGTGGTGGAGGAGGAGGAATGGAGGGAAGGAAAGAGAAAGAGGAAGAAAAGGAGAAGGAGAAAAGAAGAGAAGGGAGAAGCGAATTAGAAAGGAGGAATAGAATGTGTATCAAGTATTAAGGTGATTGATAGATCACTCATTTTGAAATTGTATGTATGTATTTATTTATTTTTGCCTAGAGAATAAGCCACTCAATTGGATGTTAGGTAGACAAAAATGCTAAGCTCAACAAACACTAGCCATGGTTTGTTAATTACTCCTAATAGCTTTGGGGCCTTCTGAATGAAGTAGTAGATTCATCACTCACTCAACTATTAAGCGTCTGCTGTGTCCAGGCATTGTGCTAGAGACTGGTCAGAGAGAAGACAGAAAAGGAATCCATCTCCTCCACGGTGCAGCCCACAGCGTAGTCAGGATGTTGGAGAGCACATGAAAGGAAGGGAGACCTGGATCTCCCAGCACTTCTAGCTGAAAAGCTTAAATACGACAAAAGGTATCAGGATGCTCCTCTTCATGGAGTGTGGGTGACTTGGCAAGTGTACTGGCTAGCTGGGAGGCATTTTCTTAATTAGCGATTGATGAGGGCCCAACCCATTGTGGGTGATGACATTCCTGGGCTGGTGGTCCTGGGTTCT